AAAACTTTTTTTTTTTTTTTTTTTTTTTTTTTTTTTTTTTTAAATTATTATTATTTTTGTATGTTTACTTCAATTGATAAATGGGAAATAAAACATCCGGATTAGGCATAATGAGAAAAAAAACATTTCTTCAATATAAAATGATAGAAGATATAATGTATTAGAATTTTCTCATTGCATTCAGTCAGGAAACATTGAAATGTGTGTCCAATGAAATTATCTTACCGATAAAAATTAATTGCTGACATCACAAATTTGCAGAAGGAATTAATATTAAACTTAGTAAACATGTTAGTATCTTGAATATGTGATAAGGAGCCTAAAGTAAATATCCTAGCACTATCAATAACACAAATAAGCATAGAGTTTAGGAGATGGCTGTTTTTGGGAGATGGCTGTAAATCAAAGTGTCTGTGTAGGCTTACATGCGATAATTCAAAAAAACTTTACAATCTCACGAAATGTATGTGAATTGTTCAACTTATCGGACCTTTGGTGACGTTCTTGAAAGCACAATTTCTACTTACAATAAAACAATCCATCGAAAAAGTTATTGATTTTACAAGCCTCAACAGTTGTTTTACTAACACATTATGTAATAATTTATTTATTTTTCTAAACGCCAACTTTTTTGTTTTCTCAATGTTTGCACTTGTTCACATACCGAAAATAAGTTCATGTTTCCGCTGGCGTCGTTTACTGAAATGAAAGCACTTGTGACGCAAAAAAGCTGGTGTTCCCGCTGGCGTGTAGCATTCCAGACAGACAGAAAGAATGAACGAAAGAATGGCGTATCTGGGGGTTCCTTTTATACTAGAAATAACCCGTTTAAAACTACCGAAGGAGAGAATCACAGATGGCTCCACCCCTGCCCAGACCACTTCCCTACTTTCGCTCGGAAGCCTTCAGCGCCCTCGCTTTCTGCTCCCTGTCACGGTCAGATTGCGTGAGTTTTTCTGTGTCTGTTTTTATGATGTTAATTGAGCAATCGTGGGTGTGTTTTGCCCATGTGCCCCACGAGTTTTTCCTCGGTCACGTATGACCGTTGTGGTGTGTCGGGAGGAACCACGTGATGATAGGAATGTGGTGTTGGGGGGGGGGGGGTATGGAGGTAGTTTTTGTGAGTGAAAAGTGGCGAGTGCTGTGGATAAGGGGTATGATTGTAGTTTGGTGAAGAGAGTAATTTTTTTCTACGGATGGAAGAGGACTTGTGTAACTATATTTTGTATAGTATGTGAAGCTTTTCTGGAAACGTTTAATTCTGAAAACCAGGGCTTATTTCTTTTGAACTTTTTCCACTCACTGGTATGCATATGTAGCCAATAAATAAGAAAAATCTGAATCTCTGCATCGTTTATTTGATACTTGGAACATGAGTCACCTCAGCTCTGTAGGGGCTAGAAATAAAGGGGTTCTAGACCCTTGAAAATTGTTATGTGGCCAGTACGCAGGGGACCGACCTCTAGACAACGTACGTCACGTCACACTCACCTACCCCCACCCCTAAACACACCCCCGATAATGACCGTTCATCCTAATCAATTTCCGAATGTTTGCAACGCTCTGTAATTTACAGTGTAAATACAAGTTACCTTTTACATGCGACTATTCAACAAAACTTCCCTAACTCAAGACACTTGATTTTTTTCCCCTTAAACCGGATCTTTGGTAACGTTCTGAGAAGGACAATTTCTATTTACATTTAAAAATCCATCAAAAAGTTTGTTGATCTTACAAGCCCGAACAGCTGTTTTACTAACCATTTCATTCATAAAAAATATTTTTAAAACGCCAACATTTTGTTTCTCAATGTTTGCAATTGTTCATAAAACAAAAATAATTTCATGTTTCCGTTGCGCCCTTCAGTTCGTTTACTTAATGTACGCCATCATGACGCAAAGATCTTGTCCCCCCCCCCCCTTTTTTTCGCGCTGAGCGTTCCGGACAGAAAAAAAAAAGTATGAAAGACTGGGCTTTTCTTATATCTCTTTTATATATATATTGCTTCTGGTGTATCCTTCTTCCTCTTCTAAACCGGTCCACCCCAAACTCCACAAGTTTTATATAAATATAACTGAGTGAAAAAAAAGACTGTCACGCATCTAACGTCATGTGTAGCGGTTGAACTCCGGTAAATGGGTAAGTTTGTTTTTTTATATTATAAATTATAATATTAATTATATTGTATACTATCATATTAATCACAAAGAGCCATGGGTATAGTGTAGGACTGTCTGTGGGATTATTTTATTAAAATCCAGCAGGTAGGTTGTAGGATTCTCTTTATGCCTATTGTTTAATGGCTGGCATATATTATAGAACAGACCTGCACAACATGCGGGCCACATGCGGGCCGTATGTTGTGCAGGACTGTTATAGAAGATGAGAAGTTGACCTTTTTTTTTTTTTAAACACTTTGAACCACCGAGTAATTTTTTTTAAAATCTCCGGATTATGCCCAAGTATTTTCTCTATTTTGTCTTAAAACGACAGTTGGGTGGTTTGCCTAGGCTTTTATTGTGTTTTATTATAAGCCGTCCCTCGATGCGATTCCCGACAACAAATTGTTTTACATAAGACTGTGGAGGTTTTAATAAAAGTACAACATGAACGTGACCTCTTGGAAAACTCATTCGTAAATAAACACGCTTGTCAGAACACAAAATAGGGGTAGGGGTAAGGACAGGGCCATTGGGTAAGAGCGAGGTTAGCAAGCCCCAGAAATACGAAGAACTGGGTCACTGAGAACTTGAAGGTAACCATGGGCATGGGGCCTGTGGCGTGTTGAAGTTGAGTTTCTAAGCTTTGGGATGGTGTTGAGTGTTGAGGCCGGTGAGGTCAAAAGGCGTTTTAGACACTCATTTTCACAAATTATGGTAAAAATATATAACAATTACTAATTGCAACATTTAATTAATGCTAAATGTACATTTAAATCTTCAAGAAAGCATGCAGAATTTTCCAAGACACAGAATAAAGACATATGTATAGCATGCCACTGCAAAATTGTATTCTCCTCTTAAAATTTGTTATCAAAAGAGTGTCTGACAATAAGACTACAACCTTTCTTAACCTGTGCGGGGCCCTATACTTTTACAGTTTACACCGCTCTCCCTTTCTATATACCGTACTACGCTCGCAGTGGCGAGCTAAGGGCTGTGAAAGGGCACTTTGTTTAGGGGACGACAAAATCGTTTTTCTTCCATTAAATGGATGTATTGTTGAAATTTAGTTAAATTTGAGGTTAGAAATAAATTCATTTTTAATTATATCTGTATAATTATGAGTATTAATAATTTTCCTTCTTGCCTTCCTAATATTGAAATTTCAACGTAAAAGCTAAGATTAAGTGATTAAATAAAGTCTATGATAATCGTAAAATCAACCTATACCGGGATTATTTCCATTTGGGCCTGTTGCTTCTAGCGCAAGTTTTCATCAGGGATCACCAGTGAAATTGTGTGATGCAAACTTCAAATTCCCTCTTTTTTTTTTAAATAGTTAGAGGGTTTGGTGGGGGGGGGGGAATTCCATAATATGTAGGCCCTATATTAAGTTATAATAATAATTTTCGATTCGTTAATAACAACAAGAAGCTGACTCTTATTGATAATAGCGTGTGTTAAATTGGATAAACACTGTTTGCACACAGATTTCGATTTTTTTTAAATATGTTCAATTAATTTAGTAAGCTCCTGGAGTAGACAGTGGCGTAGCTGCATTTTGACATTCGACATTATTTAATGTAAAAAAAAAAATTAGTACACGCCTATGGGGAACTCCCTCAAGTAGGGGCCCGGGAGGACTTTCGAATTTGGAACCCCCCTCCCCTAGCTACGCCACTGGGAGTAGAACTTTAATTTTGCTAAATAATTCAGGTATTTCGGATACCAAATTCTTCGGATAACTAAACACTCCCACGGAAATGTGACAATAGCGAAGTTAGTGCACATAATATAATATATTCTTAATTAGGGGTGGACTGGACCGCCGGGAGACCGGGGAATTTCCCGGTGGCTCACAAGAGCCCGTGATATTTGGGCCACCTCTATATTACAATTACAACTTCCAAATTAAATCTCTACTAATAGGTAGTTGTCCCGAGGCCGCCTCAACACTCCAATCCACCTCTGTTGCTACTTTATATTTATACTAGCCAATATACCCGGCCCTGCTCAAAACTGCATTCGCAAAGAAAAAAACTTCTACTTCCTTTAAGCTAACATCGAAATTATGGGACATGTGAAAGACACAAAGCTAAAGAAAAAATAAACATTAAAATGTTCTCATATATAAAAAATGTACCGGTTTAATAACATTTATAAACATTTCGTTCCCCGATGGGATCTCTTCCCTTTTTTATCCCGTTTACCATTGGGATCTAGCTCCCTGTGGGATCCCGTTCCCATTGGGATCCCGTTCTCTGATGAGATCCCGTTCCATGGTAGAATCCTATACCCTAGTTGGATCCCATCACCTTGTGTGATCCCATTACCAGGTAGGATGCCTTTCCCGGTGAGTTCACGTTTCTCTGTTGGATCCCGTGCGCTGACGAAGGCTTCCTGCTGACACGTTCGTTGTTTTTGTTGCGTTCCTTTTTTTTCAGGTTTGACCATACTTTGTTTTGCTCATTTCTTTTTTTTTTTTTTTTTTTTTTTTTTTTTTTTTTTTTTTTTTTTTTTTTTTTTTTTTTTT